CGTTTTAAAAAGCATTCGATACAGCATCATTAACTATACCCCAGGACTTATTACACCTCATACCCCCAGGACTTATTACAACCTGAAGTTTGTACCTTTTAAAAAAATATATATTTTATTGATTTTGTACAGAGAGGAAGGGAGAGAGATAAAGAGCTAGAAACATCGATGAGAGAGAGTCATCAATCAGCTGCCTCTTGCACATCCCCCACTGGGGATATGCCAGCAAACAAGAAGGTACATGCCCTTGACCAGAATCGAACCCGGGGCCCTTCAGTCCCCAAGCCGACACTCTATCCATTGAGACAAACCGGTTTCAGCTGAAGTTTGTACCTTTTGACTCCCTTGACCCATTTCACCAACCCCCACCTCACCTCTTCTCCCCGCCCCCCCGGGCAGCAACCGGGTGAGCTCCTTTTCTTCCTATTTTAGATTCCACGTATGAGAATTCATGTGGCACTTGTCTTCGTCAGACTTATGTCACTTGGCCTAATACCGTCCCGGTCCATCCATGTTGTTGCAAATGGCAAGCTTTTCTCCCCCACCCCCCACACCAGTTTTCCCAAGGAGTGGATTTGGGCAGACAAGACACAGGGAGGCCTTGGGGGTGAGGCCTGGCTTGTGCTGGAGAAGCACCAGGCGAGGCAGTGGGGACTGGACCTTGGAATCATGGAACTGGTTGACTGCCGGTGGGGACACTTGCCAGCTGCAGCCTCCTCCACCTTCGTGACCTGGGTGAGTAGGCCTCAGGGACGTGCGGGTGAGGGGGTATCTCCGTGGCACTGGGTGATGGCACCCCAGTGGACAGGTCCCCATACTCCCAGTACATGTTGTGGGTGCCACTGTGATATGGTAGCGTAGCCAGATGACAAAGTTTTTTTGCCCGAAGGGGGCATTTTTCGAACACCTGCCCACAGCAGACGATTTTCCCTGAGGATTTCTTCACTTTCTTCAGTTGAGACACAAAGTACCAGAAGCAAGACTTGGCAATGACATGATTAGGCACAAAGACATACCTTTGGTGGGGGGCAGGCAGCACCCCCCACCTTGTGTTCCAGCCGAGTGCCCAAGGCCCTCACAGCATCCCCTTACCTTTCGCCGCCACCCACAAAAGAAAGATTTCCTTCTTTTTATGGCCAAACAGGCCATTGCATATATACACATTTTCTTTACCCACTCATTTATCGGTGGGTAGATAGGTAGGTTGATTCCGTGTCTTGGCTATTGTACATAAGGCTGCAATGAGCACGAGGGTGCAAATATCTTACCAAGTCAGTGTTTACTTCAGATAAATACCCGGAAGTGGAATTGCTGGATCATATGGTAGTTCTATTTTTAATTATTTGAAGGAAAATCCATAGTTTTCTACAGGGGCGGCACCGATTTACATTCCCACCAACATGTGTTACTTCTTCTCTTTTTGACAATAGCCATCCTGACAGGGGTGAGTTGTCATCTCATTGTGATTTTGATTTGCATTCCCCTGATGATTAGCGATGGTGAGCACATTTTTATGTACCTGTTGGCCATCTGTATGTCTTATTTGGAAAAAGTGGCTCCAGATCCTCTACCCATTTCTTAATTGGATTGTTTTTTTGCCATTGATTGTATGAGTTCTCTCTCTGTCTTTAACACTAACTCCTTATGAGATATATAACTGCAAATATTTTATCCCATTCATTAGGTTGCCTTTTCATTTTTGTCAATGGCTTTGTTTGCTTTGCAGAAGCTTTATTTTCCTGTAACCTCACTTGTTTGTATTTCTTTTGTTGCCCTTGCTTTCCAAGTCAAATCCAAAAAATCATCAGCATGACTGATGTTAAGTGCTTACTGCCTATTCTAGGAGTTTTCTGAATTCAGGTCTTACATCTAAGTCTTTAATCCATTATGAGTTGATTTTTGTGTTTGGTGTAAGATCGTGATTCAGTTTCATCCTTTAAAAAAAAAAAAAAAGACTTCTTAAATTGATTTTAGAGAAAGGGAGAAGAGGAACATCAATGTGAAAGTGATAATTAGCTGCCTCTAGCACACCCTTTACCCGGGATTAATCCCAGGCAAGTGCCCCGTCTGGGAATTGACCTGCAACCTCTCAATGCATGGGACGAGGCCAGCCGAGCCACACCAGCCAGCACCAGTCTAACCCTTTTGTGTGTGGCTGTTCAGTTTCCCAAACACCATTTACTGTCTTTTACCTGCTATTATTTTTGGCTCCTTTGTCATAAATTGATTGACATGTGGGGCTATTTCTGGTCTTTCTTCTGTTCTATTGATCTACGTGTCTGTTTTTGTGCCAGTATCATACTATTTTGATTACTATAGCCTTGTAACATAGCTTGAAATCAGGGCACGTGGTGCCTCCAGCTTTGTTCTTTCAAGATTACTTTGGCTATCCTAGGTCTTTTGTGGTTCCATGCAAATGTTATGATTGTTTTATTTAAGGGGAAAATGTCATTGGAATTTTAATAGGGGTTGCATTGGATCTGTAGATTGTTTTGAGTAGTATGGACATTTTAACACTATTAATTCTTCCTATCCAAGAGCATAGATAGCTTTCTATTTGTGTCCTCTTCAAATTATTTCATTAGTTTCTAGTAGTTTTTAATGTACAGGCCTTTCACCTCCTTGGTTAAATTTATTCCTACATATTTTTCTCTTTTTTCAAATTTTTTTTTTATTGATTTCAGAGAGAGAGGGAGAAATAGAAACACCAATGATGAGAATCATAAATCAGCTGCCTCCTCTACATTAGACATGCACTGTATAAAGGTTAAAATGGCATATTTTGGGGTTCTGGAACAGATTTATTCAACTTACATTATTTCTACACTTGATCTTAGCCAAAAGGCCGAGAAGCGATCAACTTACATTATTTCTAATGGGGAAAATGCTTTGGTTTTCAAACAACCTCCAGAAACAAATTAAGTTCATGAACCGAGGTTCTACTGTATGTCAGTTTCAGGTATCATTTAAACCTTGCAGCATCTACTGGGGCTCACACTCTCCTCAGCAATAAGCAAGGAGACTTGGGCTAGTCCTGTGGGAGTCTGTACCAGATGCAGGCCATGAGGAATATCCGCTCTTGTCCAACCTAACAGCTCCAGTCTGCACACCTTACATCAAACTGAGCTACGAGAGGGGAGAAAAATAAGGCGGCCTCCTCCGGGTAAGGCCAACCCTCCTCCCAAAGACAAAGCCACGCAATGTCAGGCCTGTTACCAAGCCCTCAATTGTTATGAACACACAGAAATTGTTTAGTTTGTTGACAGCCACTGCTGAGCTTCCAGCTGCAGAAGGTCTGCACGGAACACACCTGGCAGCAAATCAGAAGTGGCTCCTAGTAACTCACTCAGCAAGATGTGCAGTCCTCCTCCAATACTTCTGCTCACAGTGAGGAACAAGTCTCACGAGGAGCCAATGTCTTAGATCCTTCATTGAAGTTGGCTAGTCTCCCTCTTGAACAAAAACATCAGGATTTAGGTTCAGAGCCTTTGGCAAGTAACGGTATACAATTAGGATTTAGTATTATTTTTCTTAGGCTTTCTTTTTCTTCCATTGCATTTTTAAATATTCATTTCTGTACTCAACTTTCATGTCTGGTTAGTGATAACAGTATTTAATAATTTCTGACATTATGTGGTTAAGATCAAAGATAGTGCCATGAGTTTGAGAATTAAGTGACAGGGTTGGAAGTCAGTTTGAATCATGGCTCTGCTACAGTCTTGGAGAAATGAACTTTTTGAACCTCACTTTTTTCCTTTGGAAAATGGAAATGCTGAGAAGATGCTCTCCTCTCCCTAAAATAAGGTATTTAAAAATTACCATGTGTCTAACATACGATACCCATAATACAAATGAAAGGTCTAAATACCAAAACTTAATAGCAAAGCACAAAAAGACAAAATCATCAAAAAGCTGGTTGTTTCATCTCCTGGTTTTATTAACTACCCACAGGCCACCTAGGTGAGAAACTATCATGCCTGTACTTAGTTGTTGTTGTTTTTACTGATTATAATCACTTTACTGTGGAACATTAAGGTTTTGGGGGAGGGGCTTACAATGTTAATGGTAATACTATCAAATGAAAAAGGAAATTTGATATCTTAATCTTTTGACCAACAAGACAAGTTCAGGATTCAGTGCAGAGAATATTTTTTACTGAGACTCCACCTCTCTGGGATGCTTAGTCCCCATGGCTGCCTCCAGGCCTGGCAAGCATGCTGTAAGTTTAGGTTTTTAAAGTATGATTACCCTAACCTAGCTAAGTACCAGCTAACATGTTTCTTGCCCTACAATTCTGTGTTTTAAAGGTTACTGAGGTATAACATAACCATCTATGATCTCACACAGATTTCCTGATCGGAGAATGTTTCATCCTCCCAACCCACTTTAACATCACTATTAATACACAAATGATAAAAACAGGCTATTTTACAAAAGTTTCCCTGTAAAAATCCAAATACACCAATGTCAATCTCTAGTTTGGTAATGCTTAAAAAATGCTACCATTTGGAGGAAGCTGGGGATAGGGTACAAAGGATGTCCTGTGTTACTTTTCGTTTACTCAGAAACTATAATTATTTTAATACGTTTACAGTTCTTTAAATTTACTCATTAAAATGGGAGTATAAACATTGTGGCTCAAAATTTAGAACGAAAATCTGAATGGCTTGAGATCGTGGGAGTCATCTGACATATGATGCTTCAGTCAAGGGGGCGGTGGGGCCCAATGAAAAAGGTCAATTTATGTCCAATGCTCATTACTCTCTGGTAGCAGTAAACATTATATAATTTTGTCACATCTGCTCTCCCAACTCCTAGCCCAAGGCGGCTCTGAATTAGCTACAGCATTAAGACCAGTGTGAGAAAGGCCTCCTAATTTTGTGGAAACCCAGCGAGAATACTTTACATATAATTTATTTCACTTGAGGCTCACTCACACCAATTGCACAATCCCGAGCACACAGTCTGCCAAGGTCCGGGACTGGGTCGAGACCCAGGCCTCACTGGGTTTCATCTCGGACCCTCCCCACTAGCGAGTCGGCCTGGCTCAGGGCCAACCTGTCCTTCTTCTGCTTCTGCAAGACCTGCTCCTCCCAGAGAGCCTGGTCCACCTGGTCGTCCGTGAGCACGACCGGCTGGTACTTCTCATCGAAGAGCCGCTCGTTGATCTCCGAGTGCAGCTGGTGGGGCCCGACGACGCGCAGATGAGCCGGCAGGTGGAGGAACTCGTCGTCGTTGATGTCGCAGTCGCGCATCCGAGCACCCAGCACCCACCAGCGGCCCACGAAGCCCACGTCCAGAACCCGGCCCGGGAACTCGACCCAACGGGGCTGCAGGTGGCGGCAGCGGACCTGGTAAAGGCTGGCCTGGGCGTCGTGGGGCGCCTCATACACCAGCGAGCAGAGGCCCAGGCTCACGTGGCGCAGGCGTCCGCGGCCCCGCAGCCAGAGCAGCTGCTGGACGTACGCCTCCGCGGCGCGGTTCCGCGTGGCCGGCGCCAGCAGGAGGAGGGTCCCCGACGCGTCGAGCAGGGCCTCCTCGAAGGCCGCCTCGCTCGGTGTCAGGGCGCAGCAGGCCGCCGCACCGCCCAACAACCCCAAGTAAACGGCCGCCCGGCCTGGCCGAGCCCTCGCCGCTGCCGCCGCGTCCCTGCAGGCGTCCGCGTAGTCCCGGAGCAGCGCGCGGGCCCAGGTGCCTACGGGGAAGAAGGCGCGGTGAGAAGGTTCCGGGGCTGCGGCCGCTCACCCCGCCGCGTCTCGCCGCAGCAGCCACCCACTGCCGTACTCACCCAACCTCGTCCACACGGCTGGCTTTGCGGCTGCCGCGCCCCCTGACTCTCCGCGGCGTCGCAACCAAAGTCGCTTCAGAGCTGCCGCGGCCATTCTCTTCCGGCTTAACGTCCGTTTTCCGACGAGAAACAACAGCTACGCGAAGTAAAAGGCCCGGGAGTCTCCTCTGCGCAGGCGCCAATATTACCGGAAATGGCTTCCCATCGGAAGAAGATGGAAAACGGACCGGCGCCGGATGTTGCTCTCTGGGATGCGTGGGATTGATTGGCAGGTAGGCCGGCCGCGCAGGCGCACAAGCCCCTGGCCACGCCGACGGAGACGGCGTCAGGTGAGGAGGGCGGGTTGCACCTGTGGGTAGGGTCGGCGCGTTCACGCCCAAGCCGGTACCGTTTACCGCCAGGTCCGGCTGGGTGCGGAGGGATAAACTCCGGGCGGGCGCCGTGTGGGATTGATTGCGTGCAGACATGATTGGCCTCTGTCTTCAGAGCGGGATGCGGCGACGCCCCTGAGCAACCATGGCAGCGGCCGACGAGCTGGCCTTCCACGGTGAGTGCGACTGTGATGTGGCCCGACCTCCTCCCCGCTCTAGCCGGAACCTCGAATCCAAGGCCTAACTCCTCTCGGACCTGAGCTGCAGTGAGCTGTCAGTCCTCACCTCAGGCAGGAAACCCAGCTCTAATTCGAACTCTGCTCCAGTCCTGAGCTCCGACCTCAAAGCGGAGTCGCTACCCCAGACCTGACCCATCCCAGAACCAGCCCTCAGTTACCATCCCTTGTTAGAAGTGAGGGAACACACCCCTTCCCTCTCTCGAAAATGGAGGAGGCCTGGCCCCGCGTCGGGGAGAGCACTGAGGTGGCTACAGTTAGTCTTTGTACCCAGACAGTTTGGGCCAAACCAAATTGTCGTAACTCCCCCACTCCCACCCCCAGACACGCCTGTATCCCATATTTATTCCCGATAGAGTTTGAGGAAGCCACTAATCTTCTGTTGGAGACCCCAAATGTGACCACTGTCAGCAGAAGTGACCAGCGGCCCCCCGAGGGGCACGTGGCTGTGGCCGTGGGCCCAGGTGGTAGCTATGGAGCTGAGGACGAGGTGGAGAGCGACAAGACCGCGGTGAGTCCCCTGTGTCCCTGTGCCCTTATCCTCCAGCCCCTGCTTGGCCCCGGCAGGGAGGGCAGGCACTGAAGGCCCACCCTGTGCAGCTTTTACAGGAGGAGCAGCAGCAGCCGGGGTTCTGGACCTTTAGCTACTATCAGAGCTTCTTTGATGTGGACACCTCGCAGGTCAGATCTGGGAAGCTGGTGGGAGGGGGCTGTCATGCTTGGGGTTCAGCTACTTTGCACGGAGCCCGTCCTGTGCTGTGGGCTCTGGGCAGGTTGGAGATACACACCCTGGCTAGCGGAAGTAACTGGTGGCTGTAACGTTCTGATGTGCTGTGCTGGGCTTTGGGGAACACAGGAAGCCACTTGATAAGGTGGGTTAGAGAAAGGCCTCCTGGGGGTGGCAAGGGGTTTGCTGAGGCTGAAAGATGGATAGCTTGGCCCGGCAGGGTGGAAGGATGCCTAAGTATGTGCCAGGCACAGAGAACATCATTTACAGACCAGAAATGAGAGAAGGCAGTAACTATCACAGATGCTACCTGTCACCTAATCCTGGTTGGAGCCTGAGAGGTGGGGGATAGACAGACAGGTAGAAGCCAGATCACAAAGGGACTTGTGGCCGAAACCGGTTTGGCTCAGTGGATAGAGCGTCGGCCTGCGGACTGAAAGGTCCCAAGGTACAACAAAGGCATGTACCTTGGTTGCAGGCACATCCCCAGTATCGGGTGTGCAAGAGGCAGCTGATCGATGATTCTCTCATCGATGTTTCTAACCTCTCTGTAAAAAATTCCTCTCTGTAAAAAATTCAATAAAATATTTATTTAAAAAAAAAATCATGTAAAAAAACACACACCAAGGGACTTGTGAGGGATGTTAAGGACTTTGGGTTTTATCCTAAGGGTGCTGGGGAGTCGTGAAGGGTCTAGAGCAGGAGAGGATGGAGTGGAATGAGCAGATACGCAACATGGAAGTGGCTGGAGGCCCCATGCCAGGGTGAGAGATGATAGTAAACCAGGGCTACGAGTCTGAGGACCTATTGGGAGAGAGATGCGGGGGGAGCATGCCCAGGACCTGTTGTCTATCCTTAGGGGGAGGCAGCAAGGGCTGCAGTCCAGGGCAGCCTTGCAAAGAGGAAGGCGGAGGCCCTTAGTCTTTCAGAATGGTGGTTGGGCTGGTCAGGGGAAGGGGCTCCAGGCCATGAACAGCTCATCAGAATCCCAGAGGAAAGTGCACTTTCCTCTTAAGCAGTGTGGAGAGGAGGTGGGAGGGCAGCAGGGGAGCCTCTCAGGTCAGGGAGGAGCTTGGCTCCTTTCCTCTGTGGCTGGGGAGCCCCCGCAGGCTTCCATCCTGTGCCCGGCCTCGCCCCCAGGTTCTGGACCGGATTAAAGGGTCGCTGCTTCCCCGGCCTGGCCACAGCTTTGTGCGGCACCGTCTGCGGAATCGCCCAGACCTGTACGGTGAGTGAGGTTATGCTTTTAGCTCATTTGATTCATTCAGCAAATGTGAACTGTGTGCCTGACCCTATAGTACAGCTCAGAAGACAGCAGAGTCCCTCACGGAGAGGATGAGCCTGACACTATTCAAGGAGACGAGACATCAGAGGTTGCAGAGAAGCAGTCAGTTCAGAGGATGATAGTTGCCATTTTGTATGGTTTGGTCAGGGAAGGACCCTCTGAGGAAGGTGAGCGTGAGCCTTGTTGGTGTCAGGGTTGAGCTACGGATAGAGGAAAAACATTCCAGAAGGGGCATAAGCCCTGTAGTGGAAAAACACCTGAACTGCAGGGCAGCTGTCATTGAAGAAGAAACTGCCAGACCACCACCTGGTGACAGCCCGCACAACCTCCTTCGTTTCAGTAAGGGAGCTAAGTGTTCCAGGCGCCCTCTGATCACGGCGGGGTGAGAGGGTGGAAGCTGGGAAGCCAGGGGAGAGACAGTTACTATGATCCAGATCCTGGAGAGGAGCAGCAGCTTGGGGGGAGGGGGGAGACTGGTCCCAGGGAGAGGAGTGGTTGGGTTCTGGCCTGTGTCTTGAAGGATAGGGCTGACAGAATTTGTTGACCCACTAGATATAGGGTGGGAAGAGAGGTGCCAAGGTTTTTGCCTGGAGCATGGCAAGCACGAAGTTGCTATTTATCAATAGGAAATGCTGGGCAGGTTTGAGGGAAAGGTGAGTGTGGTGGGGTGGAAAGGGAGGTGCACACGTGAAAACATTGAATAGAAGCTGGAGGTTAGGGGCAGAGGCCCGGACTTGAGGCATTTGGGAGTTGTTGGTGTCACAAAACCCTGAGGTTGGACAAGATCATGCAAAGAGTGAACAAGGGGTGGGGGCGGGGGGCGGGAAGGACTGGGCCCAGCCAGCTCCCCATCAGTAGAGGTCTGGGAGTGAAATAAGCTAAGGAATTGCCGGTGACATGAGACTCTGAAGTCAGTGTGTGGACTCTTTCCAGAGGGAGGGGGATCAGCTACATCAAAGGCCGATGAAAGGCCAAGAAAGATGAGGACTGAGCCAGCACTGGATTCAGCCACCAGGTTGTCACATGAGTGGGTATAAGTCAGGTCAGTGGAGTGGCCGGTATGGAGGCAGCCCAGAGCTTGGAAAGACTGGGACAAAACAGGACAAGTCACCTGTCCTGGAAGCTGTGACTGGGCCCCTGACTGCACTCCCTTCTGGATCTGCAGGCCCCTTCTGGATCTGCGCCACTCTGGCCTTTGTGCTGGCCATCACTGGAAACCTGACAGTGGTGCTGGCCCAGAGGACGGACCCCTCCATCCACTACAGCCCCCAGTTCCACAAGGGTAAGCAAAGTAGGCAAGGCCCAGCGCCTGGTGGGGCTAGGGGTGTCATGGGGCCCCAGAGGTGACTGCCTACCTTGCCCCCCAGTGACAGTGGCTGGCATCACCATCTACTGCTACGCCTGGCTGGTGCCACTGGCCCTGTGGGCCTTCTTGCAGTGGCGCAAGGGCGTCCGGGAGCGCATGGGGCCTTACACATTCTTGGAGACTGTGTGCTTCTATGGCTACTCCCTCTTCATCTTCATCCCCACTGTGGTGAGTGCGGCTCCAGGGGGGGTGGCGTGCCCTGGAGAAGCCTCGGAGCTATCTGCCCATGTTGTCCCAGCTCCAGGGGGACGGCGTGCCCTGGAGAAGCCTCACAGCTATCTGCCCATGTTGTCCCAGGTCCTGTGGCTGATCCCGGTTCCGTGGCTCCAGTGGCTCTTTGGGGCACTGGCTCTGGCCCTGTCAGCTGCCGGCCTGGTGTTCACCCTCTGGCCCATTGTCCGGGAGGACACCAGATTGGTGGCCTCCGTGCTGCTCTCTGCCGTCGTCCTGCTCCATGCGCTCCTGGCCGTGGGATGTAAGGTAAGGGTCTGGGGTGGTCAAAGTGGGACCTCAGGGTTGGGAGGCAGCTTGCTTGTCCTGATGTTAACCTCAAGGGTCTGGGTTCAGTTTTACTTTTTCCAGCCACTGCCTCTGGAGCACATGGCACCTACACACCAGAACACACCTCTGCACCCACACATGGTCCTGACACCCACCCTGCCAATGCCTACGACAGCCTAAGGCCTGCGGCTCCAGGTAAGGAATTGTTTCCAGCTGCGGCTAACAGGCTCCCAGCCTCTTCCCCGCAAGAGCCTGTGGTCAGTTTCTCTTTCAGGCCTAACATGAGGGGACACTGCCTGCCCTGCCCCAAGATGATGAATGAAGGTTTCCTTGACATTTCAAGACCACTCTGCTACTTTCCAGACTTTTCTTACAAAGCAAACACGTTTATTTTCTATGCAAAGGTGATTCAGAGAATTTATAGAAAGGTGGGAGGGTGGCTGAGCTGGGAGCTTCCAGTGCAGCGGTTGCCCCAGGGGCCACTACTGGGCCCTTCTTCTTCCCCCGAGGGTCCAGCAGGAAGGCAGAGGGTCACTGCAGCCTCGCTGTGCCCACCCTTCCCAGAGTGCCCAGTTAGCGGGGCCCTGGGCCTAGCCTTGGCTCCACCACATCCAAGTTTGGGGGTGTTAGAAACGGGAGGGAGCAGAAGTAGAAGAAAATTGCCTGTGCTGAAACACATTTCCTTGTTTATTTTGTTTTTTCTTTTTTTTTTTTTGAGGGAAAGATCCCTGCAAGGCCCCTTCCAGACCAAGAGGGGACCAAAATGCCATCATCATAGTAGGGACTGGAGCTTCTACAAATACTGAGGGAAATACACAGGCCTAATGTCAGCTACAAGGAGAAAGGACGCCTTCCATGACATACCCTTGAGGTTTCTGTCTGCCCCGTGGCCAACAGGACCTCCTCCCCTCTAGGCCCACAGGCCTCCTATTCTAGCTCTTGGGGGGCAGGGGGACCCAGACAGGCTCAGGGACAGGACAGCAGCAAGAGGCAGGGGCTGGACGGAGGGTCTTCCCAACAGCTGGGTGGGTTGTACATTCAAGTGAGGTGAACCCTTTTGTGGGAGGGGCTCTGGGGCTGCACAGGCCCGGCCGCACCTTGTCCTGAAGACCTGGCTGGGCCACCCCTCACCACCAAGCCTCTGAGCTGGGGACGGGCTGCTGGCTCGGCCCGGCCGGCCTGGTTTTTTCAGAAGGTCTGTGGATTGACACTGGTTCTTTTTGTAAAAAAATAAAATTAAAAAAAGCAGCATGTCACGCCCATTGTGACCAACGCCTGGTAGTTGAAGGGGAGGCCCTATCTAGTTAGGACTGCCTTCCCTCCGGAGATAGGCAAGGGAGGGCAGGTGCTGGGGAACTGGGCGGGGCTGCTTGCTCCCTGCCACCTGCCCGCAGAGCCTGCAGCTCTCAGGCCTGGACACGCCTGTTTCACTAGATGTTAAGTCCAGGTCAGGATGGAGAGGGCAGGAGGGGGGAACAGGGCTCCCACAACATGATCTTGTGTAAAATATGGCGGCGACACGCGCTCAGAGCCAAGACGCGGTGGTGGTGGGGTGGGAGCGGCGGCGGCGGCAATGTTGTGTAAAAAAGTGTCCAAGTTCCCATAGCAAAGAGGACTGTGACTGGTGTTTGGGCTTCTCCAGTACAGGGTGGAGGCCGCCCGGGCAGAGGGATGGGTGGGCAGGGTCTTCATTTGGTTTCCTGGTGCTGTCAGTCCATTCCCCACTGGAGGGGCCTAGCTCCCGTAGTGCATGGTGTTGGTTGGGATGGACATGGGTGAGGCCATGGAGATGGCAGGGCCGCCCATGGTGAACTGGCTGTTGACTGCATAGTGGGCGCCGGAGCCTCCGATACTGCTGCCTTGGGTGCCAGAGGAGCCTGTGGAATAGGACAAGGCACTGAGGGCCAGCTCTGCCCCCTCGCCTGCCCAGCCCCACAGCAGAGTCACAGGGAGAGAGAGAGCAGGCGAGAGGGCCGGTGGGTGGCCCAGCAGTCAGCATGCTCACACCCAGGTGACCCGCCCCCTCCGTTACCTTGGACAATCCCTGTGCTCATTATGGAGCCCATCCGGGAGTGGGTGTGATTGACAATCCCTGTGTTGGCTGCGCAGCAGAGGGAGGAAGGAAGGGAGACGGCGTCACCGCCCCCAGCCAGCTCAGGCCGCTGTTCTGCCTGAGGTAGGCACTCCCACTCACACTGTCACACCAGGTGCGGGGAGGGTGAGTGCAGCAGTGGCAGAGCGAGGCAGAAAGGAATGAGGACCTCAGCCAGGAGCCCAGGAAGAGGAAAGGTGACACAGAGGCCCAAGCACATGGGCCATCCTGGGCAGCAGACGCTTCTCCCCCACCTCCCGGGCCACTCACCTAAAGGAATCAGGTTGTTGTGGCTCACACTGGAGCCGCCGCCAGAGATAACACTGCTCAGGTCATAGGCAGTTGGCATCCCTGTGTCCAGAGAGGGAGATGTCAGGGGTGGGGTCAGTGTCCTGTTCGAGGTTCAAGGGGCCAGAACTACCAGCTTCACCAGGGAGTGCTGGTAGGTGTGACCAGGAAGTGCCCCCAACAAATACCCCCAAACAGGGACCTGCTCACCAGTCACAGTCATCCCACTGCTGAGGTTGTAGGTGTTGCCTGTGCTCCACATGTTCTCTGAGGGGGATGTGTAGTGGGAGCCAGGAGGGGGTGAGGGTGTCGTGCCTGTGTATCTGCAGCAGAGAGGGACGCATGGGCAGGGCCAGGGGGCTGCAGGCCAGAAGGAGCCCCCTCCCCCTGATGCAGGCCAAGGGCCCCTCGTACCTGAAGAAGGGGTTTTTCAGATCCAGGAGGTTACTGGATTTGGAGCCCGTCTGGTCTACCTGGGCCACAATACTGATGTCATAGCTCTGTCTGTAAGAGAGGGAAGGGGTCGGGGGCCATGAGCTGGCTGGGTGGATGAGCCCCTTCCTCCCCCAGCCCAGGGTGGCAGCCTGTACCTTTTGTTGGCAATAAGCAGACATGTCCCTGAGAGCGTGTCCCCAGCCTTGGCAAACAGTGGTGACTGGAACAGGCATCGGACCTGGTACCAGTGGGTCAGGGGCTCCGTTGGGGCCGTGGACAACCACACAGTCATTCTGAAAGAAGGATTAGGCGTGAATTTGGGCTGGAGCCACCACCCTGTGCACCAGGTGTTCTGATAGGTCTTCTGGGGCCCTGGAGCTAAGAGAGGATGGCCATCCAGGTAGTCCCAGTCACATGCTCACGCACATACACAAGGAGACCACAGTCACGGGTACTCGTTCACCTTGACATACATGCCAAAGACTGGCCAAGCCTGGGAAGGACAATCACTCAGAACAGGTGGACACTCTTCCTTTCCACAACAGTCTCTGGCTCAGGGCAAGCTCTCACTGTCTTTTTGGGAAGGATGGGGGAACATGGAGGGGTTGTCCTGCCCTCCCAGCCGCCAGTAAACATCCAAACCAGCCAGGCTGGGCTCACAGCTGCAGAGAAGTCCCAGGGGCTGGGGCAGCATGCTCTGCTCCGGTGAACTCACATGGAGCCAATGAATGCGACGTCAAACCAGAAAGCCAGACCGTGAACCAACCCAGAATGCAGCATGTGAAATTTGAATGGGATTTCTATCCTGGAAAGCAAAGGGCAGTGATTACTAGGGAAGCTGAATGGGGGCTGGTAGGAGAGAAGAGGGATGGCCAGGTGCAGAGTCCCAGACCTTGGCCCACTTGCCTGCCCTGGGGCAGTAGAATGCCTGCAAGAGCCAGCAGTGGCCCAGGACGAGGGACGTGAGGGCTGGTACCTGTGCAAATCCCCTTCTTTGGCTTCTAAGAAGTTCACCGTGTACTTGACAGACTTGGCCATCAGGATCCGGATGTCAAATGTGTCCTGGGAGAGACCACATGGGTGACCCGGCTTTGAGTTCAGGGGCCAGCAAGGCAGGGGAGAGCCCTGCTCTTCTCCCTGAGTGATGGCCTCCAGGCCATTCAGGTAGAACCAGTTAGCCCTTGTCAGACATGCTGGGGGAGGATGAACTGGTACCACACAATAGAGGACAATTGGATGACAGCTCTCAAAATAACAAGTGTTCATATGCACTAAAGACTTCCACTCCCAGGAGTTCAACCTCAGATAGATGTGCACATGTACAAATTTGCACATCTAATTACAGACTGTCTATGGAATTGACACACTGGGAAACATCTAATTAAGCTGGTGGCCCATCCATAAAGGCTGTATGTGAAAAAGAACGAAGAGGCTTTTTATGAACATACAGGGAAAGATCTCTGAGATAAGCAAGTTAGAGAACTGTGTGCTGATGTCCAATCACAGCTACAATGCAGATTTTCTTGCCAAGAATTATACAAGCCAAATAAAATACAAAGGAAAAAAAAACAGTTTTTTGAAAGCACTGGAGAGCAATAGCAGCAGCCAAGGCTTTGGGGGCCAAGATCCTAGAAAGAAGGGAGGTGCTTCCTGTGCCTTTCCCCCTTGGTATGGGACCTTTCAGCGGCTCCCCTGGGTCAGAAAAGCAAAATGGGGGCTCAGGGTTACTAAGGCAGTCGGGACACAAGGAGCCAAGATGCTAAAGGCAATGTAGAAATACAAGGTGGATGTGCTGCATGTGATTTCACTTTATGGCATTTGCCAATTCCTGAGCTGTGTGTAGGGTGGGGGTTAGAGGACAAGAGACCAAGCAGAAGGTCACTTCTAAGACACTAAAAAGCTAACGAAAGGTTCAGCACCATATTAGTGCTGGGAGGCTGAAGCAGGGCACACGTAAACCACTGAAGCAGCAGTTCTCAAAGTCCTTCCAAAGCACCCAAAGTCAAAACTAATTTCACAATAAGACTCAGATGTTTTCTGCCCAATTTCATATAACTCACCTGTGATATCACAACAGAGGAATGCAGAAGCAAAATCCAAATTTAAAATGCCAGTATCCTAAAAAAATTTTGGACAACAGTTTCTGTTCTTAAAAATGCTATTTATGCTAATAGACAATGGTTTCACTACTGTTTTGTGTGTTTTTTTAATGAGTTAATAAGTATTTTTAAATTTCTTGGGCTTAGGTTTTGTTTTCCTGGTTTTTTGTTTTGTTTTGTTTTTTATTGATTTCAGAGAGGGAAGGAGAGAGAGAAATAGAAACATTGATGAGTGAATCATTGATCAGCCTCCCCTGGACGCCTCCCACCAGCAATCAAGACCACAACTTGGGCACGTGCCCTGATCAGGAATTAAACAAGATCTCCTAGTTCAGCAGTCGCCAACCTTTCGGACCTCATGGACCACCAGTTGGCGACTGCTGCTCCAGAGATTTCCTTAAACCAGCGGTTGCTAACCTTTTGGACCTCATGGACAATCAGTAGTGACCACTGTCCTAGTTCATAGGTAGACACTAACCACTGAGTCACACTGGCCGGGCTTAGTTTTTAATATCAACAGACACAGACAGTATATCAATAGATATAACACACATTAACAAAAGTTATTTCGAGTTCTCATTTTTAAGAATTTAAGAATCTAATATTAAAATGTTTGAGAATTAATGCTCAGGAAATAGACCAACTGAGTCTGAAAAGTAGCCATGAAGTATCTCACTCATATATATGCCAGGATCAAGTTGATCTTGTCTGAAAAAAAACAAATCCTTGAAAGAAAAACATCATTCAGAGCCTCTACAATTTTGCATTTTGGCATTTGATGACCAGGCACCAAGACACAGGACCAATGGATAAGAACCAAACAGCAAGAGGATAGACACCAAAAATACACGATTTATCCAAATACTAAAGTGACCAAAGACTTATAGTTAATATGTTCAAGAAGGAAGATGAAAATATGGAGAATTTCACAGAGAACTGAAATTCTCTCTTCCTCTCTGAAATCAGTAAAAATTAAAAAAAAAGATAAAAATTAAAAAGAATTTAAAAATCAAATTAGACAAAGAATTGGAACTGGAAAATAAATCATAAGAAAATATGAAAATGAGGCAATTGAGGAAAAGAAACATGGAAATACAGAAATGAATATAAGAACCATCTGAGACATGGCAAAAGGTTTAATATACATGCAATCAGAATACCAGGAGAAATAAAATGGTGCGAAGGTAGTATTTAAAGAGATATTAATCAGGAGTCTCTCAAAACTAGTGAAAGACATCAAGAAGGAAAAACAATTACGTATTAAAAGAAAGCGAGAAAAGTTAAAAAAAAATAACAGGAGAAATAGAAAAATAATAAAGTGAAAGATTTATATCCACAAAAAGCAGCAATTACATTTGATGTAAATGGTCTATTCACTTAAGACAGAAAACATTAACTTTGTTAAAAAACAAAAACCCAAATACATGCTACTTACATGAGACAAACCTTAAGTGATAAGGACACAAAAAAGTTGAAAGTAGGATGGGGAAATATATATTGTACAAAGATTAACCAATATAAAACCAAAGTAGTTAAACTGCCATCAGAAAAAAAAAATACCACTTGAGGTAGAGACACTTTTTATAATGATAAAAGGACCAATCCAACGGGAAGATATAATAATCCTAAACCTGTATGCATAAAATAATGCAGTATCCAAAAATATAAAGCAAAAAGTATCAGAACTAAATGGAAATTTTATCTACAATCAGTAATAATAGAGATAGTGATTTGACCAACATGATTAACAAATGGGATCCCAGAGTAACTTACCTCTGTATTCAACAAGTACATACAGAACATAAGCCAAAAGAAACTTCATAATGGGCATAAAGCAGCTCTCAGTTTCAAAGGACTAAAATCATACAGTGTATGTTCTCTGACCACAGAGAAAGAATGGTATGTTGAATATGTTATATGTAATTTGAGAAAAAGGTATATATACACATTTGTATATGTACATTTAGGTATAAAACTTCTCAAAAGATACACATGATATATTGTTTGCCTACTGGAAAGAGAACTGTGTGTCTGGGAACAGGAGCAGGGAGGATTTTCACTTTTATTTGTGTACCCTGGGTCTATATAATCAGTTCAAAAATCTCAATAATTAAAATCAATCAAATAAAGTCTATTCACCAAGGATCAATCCATCTAAATAACAGTTCACATGTTCTGCATGCTTACTGTGTGCTAAGTGCTCTATATGCATTGCCACTTTATTCCCAACACATTTGTGAGAGAACTCTGTTCAGGGGCAGAAGGGAGAGAGAGTGGCATCCCTACAGCTGTAGCTTGCACAAGGCCTGACAGGACCCACCCTCTCCGACCCCAAAGGAGTCCATGCCCAGTGCTAACTGTGATAGCACCTTGGGCGCTCCTCCACTCACCACTACAGGCTGCCGGAAATACTCATCCACAGCGGCACCTCGGAGGGCTGACAGGTCTACTCCATGGAAGGAAGGCTGGTACCTGCAGAAAGCCCCCAACCCCCACAGAAAGGTCACCAGCAGCAGAAAGGCAGGTGGGTAGCCTGTCTTCTCTCCCTGCTGGCCCTTATCCAGCCCAAGTCTTTCAGGTCCTACTGAAAAAAAGGAAAAAGAGAGGCAGGGCCATCCCTGAGAAGGCAGGACACTCACCAGAAGTTGGCCTTAGTGAACTGCTCCATGTAGAGCTGTTCATCCGTGAAGGGCGCGAGGTGGACATCACCAATGGTAGGGAACATGTTTCCTGGGAGGCACGGAGGGTGCTGGTGTCACGGTGGGACATTCTGCAGGGCCTGGCAGAACCTCCAAAGGGTCCCAGGACCTCCAACCCTGGGCCTTCCCAGCCTCTCATTCACTCATCCATTCATTCATGCATCCGTTTAATAGAGGTACTGATGTCCAATCACAGCTACTGCGCCAGCGGCCAACGAGCACCTGACATGCACTGTCTCTCCAAACCTGAAAAGCCAGCCAGGGAGAAAGGAGGGCCTGTCCTTATGTGCATTAGGCCTGGGTGACAGGAAGGAACCCGCCAGGGCGTCAGGGTAAGCAGTGGTGCCTGGGGCCTGCTCCATGAGCCATGCAGTGTTGCTTAGGCGCTGTCAACCATGGACATGCAGCCAGGGAAAGCAAAGAAAAGTTCTCTGGACAAAGCAAGGATAAACCCCAGGCTATGGCGTAGAACATCAGCTGAGGCCAAAGGCTGGGTGAAGGGTCAGCTGAATCCTCACAGCTGAGTCTGCCCAGGCTCTGGCAGACATGGTGGGCCTTTAAGCCACCCTGGTCTGGCACATGACTTGAAATGGGAGGGGCTACAGGGTTCTCCATCTGTGTGACTCAGGAACAGAAAAGTCAGAGCCAGTGGCTCCTCAGTGAGTCCAGGGCAGAGTCACCTGGCCTCCAGGTGTGAGCCTCTCTTTTCCTACTGGCATTAGCAGGATTCAGGCTGCGGTGGAGGAGGGGGCTAAGAGACCACTTGCTGGAGCATCATGGGAAAGTGCCCCAGTCCTAAAGTCACCTAAATGTGTACATCTGGGAAGAGGATTCCTTTCAATCTCTCCAAAGAACTTCCTGAGATGGAACGAAGACACACTCATGTAGGCAGGGCAGTGGGGGGCATCACTGGCTCCAGGCCTCACTCTGAGAAGGCTGTGTGAGCAGTGGGGCAGGATGTTCAGCTGCCCACCAGAGCCTGACTCCTGTCTGTCCTTATGTCCCACCCATAAGGAGGAGTCCACCCCCAGCAGGCTTGGCTACCTAAAGGCAGAATGGGAGGACAGTGGGTCCAGACACCCCTCTAGGGAAGCCTAGCTTCCCACTCACCGTTGTGAGAAATGGTATTCACCTCCCACCTCCAGAAGCGAAGCCCAAGGCAGATCCCCGCAGCCTGGATCCAGGAAGGCCAGAGCATCAAATAGGTGCTTCCCCACCTGCCACCATGGGGTCCCCAGTCCGCTAGCTTCCCACACCTGTCCTGGTCAGGTCCTCCCGTGCCACATGTATAGAAGCATACACACAATCCCTGCTTTTACAGAAATACTCAAAGTCACACAACCTGAATTAAGAAATGGACACATCAGCAGATGTTTAGGGCCAAGCACAGATCCCCCCTCCAGAGTTGGGCACAAATCCACAGGGATTCAGATGGGTAGTATAAACAGTGACCCAATGACCTAGGAGCACGGACAAGCAGTCACAGTGCCACAAACAAGAGGCCACTGATGGGCATGCTAGACAGCTAATTGCCCCTGCAACACGGACCCTTGCCCCCTCTCCCTGGCTGAGGGCAGTTACCAGGTGAGGAATGAAGACGATAGGTCAGCTCCTCTGTGCACACCACAGAACACCTTCCACACCTGCCACATTCCCAGCAGACACTATCCCCAAGACACCAGGGCATGAGGTGGCAGGAATCCTGGAGGCTCTCAGGGGACCTGAGGGGAGCCTTCAGTCCCTGGCCAGGCGGGCTGTGTGGCCTTGTCTCGGGCAAGATGGGCATAGGGAACAGGGAAGGGGAGGAAGGTGGGAGGGAGGCACGAGACCCCAGACGCCCTTAACCGCAGGCCATCAAAACAGGCCAGCAGAGAGCTGACCACAACTGTGCCCACTGAGTAGCAGCCAGGGACGCCCCAAAGGGGCCCCGGTGGGTGCGCCCCTGGTGCCAGGCCCCGTGCCAGCAGGGACACTCACCACCAGGCCTCAGGTACTTCTTGGCGTGGAGGTAGCTCTCGAGCATGCGCTCATTGAAGAGCATGTAGCCCATGGGCTCCGAGACAATGATATCCACCTGCTCAGGGAGCGAGACCTCTTCTACCTTCCCGGGGATGACCACGATGCGGTCGGTGAGGTTGTTACTCTTCACCAAGACCTGTGGGTGGGTGGGCCAGAGGGGTCACGGGGGTCCCTGCACCCACTCATCCACCACGCATCCTCAGGGGAGGGGAGGCTTCTATCCCCATGTGGTTACCCAATTCCCACTGCCTCCTTCATGGGCACCCTAACCAGAGCCATAATTAGTCACAGCCTCAGTCCTCCCTTGGGGCCTTACCAGACCCCTCATGTCACCATCAATCATGAGAGGGCAACTGCTAATGGGAGTTAAGATGGGAACGACAGGCTCTGCTACAGCCACCAAAGCTAAACTGGGATATACTCTCCACCCCAGCGGTCCCAGGGCTGGAAATCTGTCCTATGAACATAACTGCACACAGAAGAGGTGACACATGTATGAGGAGGCATTCAGTGTAGCATATGTTTGTGCTACAACGATGGAAAAACAGCCTAAGTTATGATAATAATCTGTGTCTAACACAGTGGTCGGTCCGGGCAAAAGGATGCTCTGAGGCCATTAGAAAGAGTAAAGAGCTCTTCATGTGATGACACAGTAGCAGACAAACTGGTAAGGAACTAGAGCAGGTGCTACCATCTGTATAAGACCTCGGCAGGCGAAGAAGGGTACATGTTGCCGATGCAGCCACCCAATAGCACTGCAGAACTTCCATATGTGTCCTTCTCCCCCTGATGAGGAGGCTGGGAGCAAGGGATGGGGAAGGGAGCAATGTCAATGTTTACCCTTTTGTGGTTTTTAGGTTGTGAACCTTGTGAATTAAACTAATGAAATGAAAACCTGTTGTTACCCACATTTCACAGATGTGGGAAGTGGGGTTCAGAGAGGCAGGCACTGGCCAGGTCTGAGATCTCACCCTGGCCTGTGTGACTGCAGTCTCCTGAAGCACAAGGCCACCAAACCTCTCAAGACCCCAAATCACCCCTGAACCTTGGACCAGTAGTTGACTACCAGTCATGGAGGGGACACCACCCCAGCTCAGGTTTAGGGGATAAAAGACCAAAGAGAAATGATGTCCCCACAATCCCCTAAATCCAGGGGTTAGGTATCTGGGGGCGCCCAGCAGGGCCAGCTTCCCAGGTTAGAGCAGGCATATAGCTGAAGGACAAGGGCAGGCAGGGGTTCCAGTGGGCCGCTGACCTCGGCGTGCTGGGCCATGGTGCTGGCCTCCACTGCGTAGATCTTCCTTGCTCCAGCTTGGGCGGCAAAAAATGACAGGATTCCAGAGCCACAGCCAACATCAAGAACAATCTGAGGATGGTGCGGAGAGAAGGAGACACTGAGTGATCACATCACCAGGCTCTGGCTCCCTGCAGACTCATGCAGCTGAGAGCCCTGCAGCCTGCCTCCCCTTGGCATGGGCCAGCTGCCCATAGGTTGGTTTCTGAGTCACCTAGAGCACATGGGAGCCCGCAGTTCTGGATCTGAAGATGGTAGAACAGGATTTCTGAAGACAGCTAGGTTGTTAAAACCATCACGTGCTCTCAGACCTGATTTAAGAAGAACTGATTGGGTTGTGACTATCTGTGTAGCATGGTGGACACTTGGCTGTCACGAGTGAGCCTGCCGTTTCACTAGATAAAGGACAGCTCTGTGCCCTGCAGCATGATCACTGAGGCCCACACAGAGGACAGGAGCTGGGCAGCCTCTAGTCCCAGGCCTACAGGGCATCCCTGAGTACTGGAAGTCCCCAGGGAAAGTTTACTTGGCCCCAACCCCATGGGCCAATGGCCTCTGAATCAGCTGGGCTGAGTACTGTGGTCCTCCCCAGAAAATGGTTCCACAACTGAGAGAGAGGTGTCCTTTTGGGAATTCTACAGCCCTCACAGCAGGGAAAGGGGTCCAAGAGGTGTTAGGGGTGTTGATGGCAGTGTGTTCTGGTTGTGTACCGACCCTAGCCAGTGGCTGGGCTGGGGCAAGTGAGCTGTCTAGCCCCGAGGCCAGCTGGGCACCCTCTCAAGGGCTGCTGGTTCCCATGCCTTCAGCTTTTGGAAGAGTACAGGCTAGCGTGTGGTAGATCATCCTTCATTTCAGATTTGTCTGACTGCTTCCACAATAAGGATAAAAGTTCCTGATAATGACATGTACACTGAGTGGCCAGATTACTAAGATCTCTGAATGCATAATAATCTGGCCACTCAGTGTGTGTGTGTGTGTGTGTGTGTGTCTGTGTGTGTGTGTGTCTGTGTGTATGTGTGTGTGTGTGTGTATAAAAGATTAAGTGACTCTGAAGTATATATGCTGGTACATGATTGGAAAAATTAGGGCAATGGTTGTTTAAGAAGGAAATGACAGAAGTCTTTCAGGTCTATATTATACACGCTGGGTTCTTATAGTTTTTACAAAAAGTAGATTTTGCTTTTGTAATCCAAAAAAATTTAAGATAAAATCTGCAAGCAAAAAAAAAAGTGAGAGAGAGGGGCAACTGCCATAGTGAGACGGGCACTGAGCCTGAGAGAAGGGGTGTGCAGGAGAAGAGTCAGAGCAGGTCCTGCTTACCTTGTCCTTGAAGTCTGTGTGGTTCTGCAGTATCGCACGCTGGTAGGTGCCTGTCCGCACATAGTCCTGCATCATGTTCTGCTGCTGGGACAGGTAGCCATAAAACTGGAACAGAGACACGCTAATGGCACAGGGCACGTGACGGCACAAATGGCCAAGTCCCTGGCTGGCCCAAGACCGAAGAAGGGCCACCTTGGGCACAGACCTCCAGCAGCAGGCTGTACCCTCTCTGCTGGCCCTAACCCCTCTTGCAGCTGCTGTCTACTTCTGGAGAGGGAATGAGAGCCAGAGGCAGCCCCGAGGACAGACATCTCCACGTCACGTCATGTGACCAAAGGACACAGCTGGATGCCATTAGGACCTGGAATCCACCAGCAGAACTCAAGATTTACCACAGGCAGAATTCTGGGATTGGGGCCGCCTGACGCATCTTAGGGAACTCAAAGAAGCAGAGTAGATCAAACAGAACCCTAGGACTCAAGAGCGTCAGGCGGGTGAGGTGCTGTGGGGTCTCTCGGTAAGACAACAGGCGATCGGGAGGCAGCGTGGCATCTGGGCAGGGGCACAGGCTTTGGCATCAGGCAGGCCTGGCTTCCCATCTTGGCTCTGTTGCATAATAGCTGTGTGACTTGGAGCAAGTCACTTAACCACTTTGAGCCTCAGTTTTCTCATCTGCAAAATGGGGACAATAATAGTACTTACCTCTTAGAGTTGTTGGGAGGGCACAAGCACTTCCATATTTGTGAAAGCGCTTGGACCAGTGCCTGGCATGCCCTACATGGTTGGTACATTCTTTCTGTGCTTTCATTATTCAAAACACCCGCGGACCTAAACTTCACCTGCTCTTGAGTCCTTCCAACAACAACCCTCCTAGACAAGTCCTGGCATCTTTGTTTCACAGATGAGGAAACTGAGGCCCAGAAAGTGGAGGGAATCTGCCCAAGGTTACACAGCTAGTAAGGGGCAGAGCCAGGACGTGAACCCAAGTGGGCCTGCCCTGTGCTGCGCAGCCTCCCGGGGCCATCAGGTGACAGGGGCCTGCCCGGGGACCACATGTACCCACCTGAAAATACTGCACGGCGGAGGACTCTTCCGTCCGCTCGCTGAACACTGACCGTTCCAGGGTATGGCCCCGGCAGGACTTCAGGATGTTGTAGAAGGAACAGAAATCTGGAAGGCGGAAGCTAGGTCACGCATGACAGTGTTGGGGATATGAAGGTTCATATAAGCCAGTGGCCCTCTGTCTACCTGCACACCCTGCTTTCCTGCTCTGAGCATGCGTGACTTGGTGATTTCTTTTTTAAAAGGCAATAATGAAACTTAAGGAAAAGAAGGGTAGCCAAGCCCGCCACTTGGTGGCTGGCACAAGGCAACGGTCTCGTACTCTGGGCTGAGTGTGCTCCACATGACTGGCAGCAGTGAGCCCAGCACTGGCTCACCAGAGGACGGTGTGGCTGGAGCCTTTGTAAGCACAAGCCTGCCAAGCCGAGTGACAGATTTCTGGGATTCACCCAGCAAGTCCACCTGGCATTACCAATAGCAAAGGAGAGAGTGGAGACAAAGTCTCCACAGCAACCTCACCTGCCTGCTTGTGTCCTCTCAGACAGAGCTGCTTAGAACCTTCCAATGACTTCTCTCTGAGCTCAGAACAGAGCTCTGCCTGCCTGAGGACTTTGTCTCCACCTCCTCCTTCGCTGTTGGTAGTACCAGGTCTCAGACCCCACCCGACAGGCTACTCCTAGAGGCCTGGGGTGCAACCCAGCCAGGAGGTTAGAATAAGCCTCTTGGAGGAGAGGACATATGAGCCAAGCCCAGAAGGACCTAAAGGAGTCAGTGAGAAGAGTCTGGTGCAGAGCATTCTAGAAACTAAGATGTGCTGACTGGGGACAGATCTCTACATGGGAATATGAGAGCCTTTGCTGGGACAGATGGATGGACCCCCACCAGACCTTCTGGCTTTGGGTGTTCTGGGTACCACGGGGACAGAAGGGTCACGTACCATTGGGTGTAGCGAACTGGATGAGGACGCTGTTGCAGCCCAGGGTGATGATGAAAGACTGCTTGCCCACGCGGCTGCACTCCGTCTCACGGGACACCGAGCACTTGAATACACATATATCTTCATCTATGAGGAGAAGCGGGTGTGAGCAAGCAGGCCCCAGAGCCAGTGAGCAAGACTCCCTGTCAATTGCCTTAGAGTCTTGTCCTCACACCCTCTGGCTTCCCTTGTTTCCAATTCTCCCAGGGTGTCAGTAATCCCTCCCTGAGAGTGCTGCCATGTGCCCAGCTCACGCTGAGGAGGTAGGGACAGATCAGGCAGTAGGGACGCAGTAGGCGATGGCTGACCAGGCAGTAGGGACGCAGGGATACAGCCTGTCCAGAGAGAGGACTGTTGTTCACAGGGCAACCAAGGGCTGAGATGGGGGTGCCAGGAGTTACAGGAACAGATATTTCAAGTAGATTCCTTCATAGAGCACATTCATACAGTGGACACTTAGATAGAAAAACAGCGACAAAAGGGCAACGTTGGCAGAGTCAGAGGATCCCAAGACCCTGGGGATGCCCATGCCCAGCCGAGGGAGTCAGCATTCATTTGTGCCGCACAACGGGGGTGAGGTGTGTTGGCCTTCAGAGTTGAGTGGGGCTGGGATGGAGGTAAAGAATGAATTCTTGGTAGCACCTCTGCTTCCTTCAGCTGAACTCTCCTCCTTGCAATTATATAGCATAGTGATTATGAGTGTTGCCACTGGAGCTGGACAGCCTGGGTTCATGTCCTACCTATGATGCTTAGGGTGGCACACAGGCAGGTCACTTAGCCCCTGTAAACCTTGGTTTGCTCATTTGTCAAATGGAGGTGATGGTGGGACAGGCATAATAGGAAGCACTGCATCCACATGCCCAACCTTATTACCACGACATTCAACAGGCACACACAAGTGTGTCCACTTTAGCTCACAGGTGAAATGGCATCATAGGAACATGACAAATCCATATAACGCTGTAGTCCTCATATAATACAGCAGGCCGGGCAAGGCATCTGCCATGCCTCTTAGCAAAAATTTTACCCTAGACCCATTTCGAGGGGACAATAAACAGTGCCAGATCATGAGGCAGTCTGCAAAAAAGCCTGCCTGCCTCAAAATGACCAATGTCAGGGAATATCAAAATTTCCGGGAACCATTCCAGAAGGAGGGAGACTAAAGAGATGTGACCATCAAATGCCAAGTATGACCCTGACTGGAACTAAGAAAAATTTTTCAGGAGCTATAAAGGACACTGGGGAAACATAAGTACAAACTATAGATGCGATTATTTTAAATGATGTGGATGTGATGATAGTAATGTGGTTCTGTGGAATGCCCTTATTCTTAGAAGACACACATGGGCCCTGGCCAGTTTGACCAGTGGAAAGAGCAATCAGCCTGTGGACTGGAGGATCCTGGGCTTGATTCTGGTCAAGGGCACATGCCCGGATTGCAGGCTCAATCCCCAATAGGCAGCCTGCAGGAGACAGCTAATCAATAATTCGCTCTCGTCATTGATGTTTCTCTCTTTCTTTCCCTCTCCCTTCCTTTCTGAAATCAATAAAACTATATATTTAAAAAAAGAGAGACACACATCAGAGAACTTCAAGTGGATTCTTGTGATGTCTACAACTTGCTTGGAGTGGCTCGTCAAATCAACAACAAAATATTGTAACAAAGAAGCACAAGTAAAATGTGGCAAAATGTCCCTCATCACCCAGAATCACCAGAACAGCCTTGAAAAAGAACAAAGTTAGAAGACTCACTCATCCTGATTTCAAAACTTACTATAAAGGTACAGTAATCAAAACACACTGGTCCTGGGAGAGATCAATCAAAGGACTTGTATGCATGCATATAAGCCTAACCAATGGACACGACAACAGGAGAGTGAGGGCATGAGTGGGGGGTTGGGGAGGTAACAGGGGGGATAAGGACACATATGTAATACCTTAATCAATAAAGAAATTTAAAAAACAACAACACAGAATAGTCCTGGCAAAAGGACAGACATATAAATCATTGGAATAGAATTAGAACCCAGAAATGAACCCTTATGTTTATAGACAATTGATTTTTAACAAGATTGCCAAGAACATTAAGTGGGGAGAAAACAGTATCGCCAATGAATGGTGCTGGGATAACTGGATCTCCACATTCAAAAGAATGAAGTTGAAGCCCTGCCTCATACCATCCCCGAAATCTAACTCAAGTGGATTAATGACTGAATATAAGAGTGAAAACTGTAAAACTTCTAAAAGAAAACATCGGAGTAAATTTTCATAATTTGGCAAAGAATTTGGTAAAAGATTTCGAGAGGTGGCACCAAAAACAAGAGCATCAAAAGAAAAACTACATAAATTGGACTTTGTGTAAGTTTGTGTAAAAACTTTGAAAGTTTTTTTTGTTGTTGTTGTTGTTGTTAATCCTCACTCAAGGATATTTTTTCCATTGATTTTTTTGGAAGTGGAGCGAGGGAAGAAGTGTGTGTATATGTGTGTGTGTGCGCGCGCTAACCATTGAGCACACCAGTCAGGGCTATAAAGAACTCTTTAACAAAAAGATAACCCAATTAAAAAATGTGCCAAGGGTCAGGCAAGAGTGGCTCAGTTGGTTGACTTTGATCCTGTACACCGAAAATTGCCAGTTGGGATTCCCGATCAGAGCACATGCCTGGATTGCCAGTTTAACATTTATGAAAGGCAACCAATCGACGTTTCTTTCTCATATTGATGTTTCTCTCCCTCTCTCTAAACTGATGTTTCTTACATCACAGTTTCTCTCTCTCTCTCTCTCTCTCTCTCTCTCTCTCTCTCTCTCTCTCTCTCGTGCACATGCGCGCCTTTCTCTCTAAAATCAATAAAAAACAGTTCTAGCCAGTTTGGCTCAGTGAATAGAGTCGGCTTGTGGACCAAAGGGTCCTGGGTTCAATCTCGGTCAAGGGCACGTACCTTGGTTGCAGGCTACTCAGGCCCTGGCCCTAGTCAGAGGCAACCAATCAATGTGTTTCTCTCACATCAATGTTTCTCTTTGTCTTTCTATCTCTCTTCCACTCTCCCTAAAAATCAATGGAAAAATTATCCTCAGGTGAAGATTAACAAAAATAAACAATAAAATCAATAAACAAAATTTTTAAAAATATATATTTATTGATTTCGGAGAGGGAAAGAGAGAGAGAGAATGCCTCCCATACCCTACTGAGGATCAAACAACTTGGGCCTTTGTCCTTAAACAGAATCAAACCTGAGACCCTTCATTCTGCAGGCCTAAGCTCTATCCACTGAACCAAACCACCTAGGGTAACAACAAAAAATTTAAGAACACTATGAGACCCCATTTCACACCCATTGGATGGCTATAATATATATATAAAAGGAGTGGGGGTGAAAATAAGTATTGGGAAGAATATGGAAAAATTAGAACCCTCACAACTTGCTTGGCAGCAACAGAAAATGGTGGAAAACAGTTCAGTGATTCCTCAAAAAGTTAAAAATAGAGTTACCATTTGACTCAGCAACCCCACTCCTAGTTATAGACCCAAAAGAACTGAAAGAAGGTATTCAAATACTTGTATGCAAACCCTCAAAGTAGTACTACTCAAAGTAGCCAAAAAGAAGAAACAACTCAAATGTTCATCAACTGCATAAACAAAACATAATCCATCGATACAACAAAGTATCATTCAGTCATAAAAAGGAATGAAGCCTTGACACGTCAAAAAGATGTATGAACCTCAGAAACATTATGCCGATACAAAAGGTCACACACATTATATGATTCTATTTATATGAAACACCTAGAATTGACAAATCCATAGAGACAAAAAGCAAACTGGTGGTTGCCAAGGGCTGGGAGGAGGGAGGATGGGGAATGAGTACTTAATGGATACAAGGTTTTCTTTGGTGTTAGATAGAGGTGATGGTTACATGATAATGGGAATGTACTAAATGCCACTAGACTGTACATTTTTTTAAAGAATATTTTTAACTGATTTTTTACAGAGAGGAAGGGAGAGGGATAGAAAGAGAAATATCGATCAGCTGCCTCCTGCTGACCCTGTCCTGGGATGTGCCTGAAACCAAAGTACATACCCTGAACCGGAATCGAACCTGGGACCCTTCAGTCCACAGGCCAACACTCTATCCACTGAGCCAAACCAGTGAAGGCTAGACTATACACTTTAAAATGGTTTAAGTTATGTGAATTTTATCTCAACAGAAAAAGAATGTTCCAGGGGAATAGGTATAAAGTGCCTACGGGTGTTCACTGGGCCCCCTGCTATTCTCTTGTTTAGTCTGAGCACTGGGCCAGGGCCAGGCCCTGTAGGACAGCTCCCTAAGCCATAGGGCAGGTTCTGCCCAACTGCCTCACACCTCAGGAGCCAGGTCCCACCCTCCTGGTGGGGTTAGGGCATGGCCAGCCTCCTAACCAGGGGCGGGAGGAAAGAGCATATTGGCAGGGCACTGCTGCAGGCTTGCAGCCATGCCCCACCCACAGGGAACTCACAAGGTACCACTAAGTCCAACTATAAGCAGGTCCCAAGAAGGAACCCCAAACCTTGGCATGGTGCCCTTGCCCACACCCCTCCTGGGGCAGTAGATAAGCCAATCCGTTGGCTGTGCCAGAACAACCCAGTGAGGGCCTCTGTTTGCAAAGCAGCCTGGCAACCTGACCAGTTGCCCTAGGAATCCCCTGCAACCCAGAGCAGGCAACCGCAAGGACCTGTGGCTGAGTAAAGCTTGGCTACACCCAGAGAGGATGGCTTGGGCTGAGGGCAACCTGACCTCAGTGGCACCCAAAGCTTGTGAAGCCAGCCTTTTGTGAGAGTTACAGCTATGCCACCCCACAGGCCAGTCCCTGGTACATAGGAGGTGCTCAGTAAATACCTGACTAGAAGAAAAAAGCCTAAGCTGACCCCCATTCCTACGCGCTTTCAAAAGTTTCAGCAGTAAAAGCTTTCAGAACTGCTAGTCGAGGCCTGTACCCCTCATTCATCAGCTCCTCAATTCCTCAGCTCTGGGTCTTTGTACATGCAGTTCCCCTCTCCTATCCCTTCTCCACCTACTTTCTCACTTTGCTCCCCAGACATTGAGCAGTAGAG